CTGTCTCCCTCTCCCTCTGCCCCTCCCCCATTCATGCTCTGTCTCTCTCTGTCGCAAAAATAAATAAAACATTAAAAAAAAAATCTCTAAAAAAAAAGCTATACTTTTTATGTTTTTATCGACTCAAGCGCTCACAGACCCCATTTACATTTCCACCCTGAAGGTATTTTAGCACCTCAGTCGTCACCCTAGAAAGTATCGTCAACGGTGCTTCTCAAAATATCTGAGGTAAAGAAGCAGGGTGTTTTGTTTTGTTTTAACAGTCTGTCGTGGACCGCCACTGCTTTTGTAAACTCTCAAAGCTCATGCTTGGAGGTGTGCCATTGTCTAACGGCTGGGCTCACAGTGCTTAATCTCAGTTTCTGTCTATGTTACTATCAGTCACCAATGGACTTCACTTTCTAGAGCCTGCTATGTGTGGCTAATAACCTCAGCATAACCATTTATTCTGAGCACCCAGTTCATGCTGGTGGAAGGTGTTCCAACAGTGTATTGACGGAGAAGTTAAAGAGTCCCTCATCCTAAGAGACTTACTTGGTTGCCTCTGACCTCAGAACTATCAAGGATTCTTTTTTTTTTTAATTTCTGAGAGAGACAGAGCATAAGTGGGGGAGGGACAGAGAGAATCCGGAGCAGGCTCCATGATCCGAACTGTGAGCACAGACCCTGATGCGGGGCTTGAACTCAAGGACTGCGAGATCATGACCTGAGCTGAAGTCAGACGCTTAACCAACTTGGTGCCCCCAAGGATTCTTTTTTTTTTTTTAAAGTTTATTTATTTATTTTGAGAGCAAGAGAGCACTTGAGCAGGGGAGGGGCAGAGAGAGAGGATCCCAAGCAGGCCCTGTGCTGCCAGCACAGAGCCCGATGCAGGGTTTGATCTCATGAACAGTGAGATTATGACCTGAGCCAAAATTGAGAATCGGGGGCTTAACCAACTGAGCCACCCAGGTGCCCCCAGAACTACCAAGGATTCTAAATTCAGCTCAGCAGTATTTAACATTAGCACCTACTCAAGTCTGGCTTCCTGCCGTATATTGACCTCAATATATATACAGTGCAGTATATATATAAGTTACTAGCATATGCCAACATACAAAAATCCAAACACAAACTACATGCTGTCTTCTATTTTAGAACACTTTAGGGAGGAAAATAGGGCTTAATAATCCAACTGACTGAACCAGTGGAAAGATTTGGCACTTCCTTTTCTTTTTTTTTTTTTTGTTTGTTTTTTTTTTTGGAGGGAGGGAAACGGGCAGGGGGAGGCGGAGAGAGAGAGGGAGAGAGAGAATCCCAAACAGGCTCCACACCGTCAGTGCAGAGCCCAATGTGGAGCTCAAACCTATGAGCCTCGAGATCATGATCTGAGCCATAAACAAGAGTCGGCCACTCAACTGACTGAGCCACCCAGGCGCCCCAAGATTTGGCCCTTCCTTAATCTCTCTTAGTCGCCCTTCCCTGCATCTCAACCTGAACTGATTGTTGAAATTAGTTCACAGAGTTATGACATAGACTAAGCATGACCCCCAGGCTGCCTTGAAGTAAAGGATGCATCGTTGCAGCAAGTGAACATCCCTTCTTCTACGGGGAATTCTGCTGTTGCATTTTTGGTCACATGTACCATTTCTATCAGAGGTGTCCACACTTGTCCTATTTTCTGAATTTCCCTGTATCCTGGAATCTGGTTTTGAGTACTCCCCTGCTGTTTCTGATGACGCCATGACTTTTCCTTGGTTATAGATTTTAGTATGAGGGACCTTCTGGTTGCTCATCACAGGCGTTTGTCTTCTTGGTTTCTCTTCTTAGTTTTAATCACTTCCTTTCATTCTTGAGAGCATTATTGCCGCTCATGGTGCCTCCTCCTGGTGGGTTAAGTTGGGTTTATTTTGAATAACTCCCTCTGCCTCCTGTTGGCAGTCATCTGGGGCTATGTTACGTTTATTGGCTGGGAATTAGATTGTTGCTATCCTATTTGAAAGGAAGAAAAAAACTGTTTTCCAGTGATCTCAAAATAATCCAACGGTAGGATATACAATATTTTCCTTACATGTGTTAATTTAGGAGATGGCTGTAATCCCCCTCCACTGTGTGGGCACATTACTGGCATCTCAAAATGGAGGCTGCTCCCTGAGACTCTGAGAGCCCGAGGTAGTGTGTGCTGTGTAGCTGAGTGTGGGGAGAGCTGCCTTTCTGAATGCTGGGAGGGGGTCCTGTTTGCCTGACCCCCCAACAGGTGTCTTCCAATATGAATTCTAGTGCAGAGCCGAAGTGCCGTTTCCCTTTGTGAATGTTGGCTTCCCTTGAATGAACTTCCAGAAAACATATTGCAAAAGCTTTCTTCAGCAGTCTTGTCACAGAGATTTCCCACCAACTAGAGGGGTCTGATCTCTTTCTCGGAGCCATGCTTGCCCAGCACCAATCTCATAGTCGCTTGTAGTCCTTGTTATTATCTTTTGATTATTTAAAAAAAAAAATAGACCAAGAAAAGAGGGAAGGGGGCAAAGGAATAGTTCAGCCATCTCCACTGATTTTGGTCTCATGTGGTTTGTATCAGGCTCTCAACTGTCACCTCTCCTGGCATCTTCTGATCTTGTCCCCTGGCACCTTGTCATTTGCCCACTTTTTTTTTTAATGTTTATTTATTTTGAGAGAGAGAAAGAGTTGGGGAGGGTCAGGGAGAGGGAGAGAAAGAGAGAATCCCAAGCAGGCTCCACGTTCAGCACAGAGCCCGACATGGGGCTTGATCTCACAGCCACAAGATCACAACCTGAACTGATCTCAAGAGTCAAACGCCCAACCAACTGAGCCACCCAGGTGCCCCTGCTCACTTGTTTTAATAGAAAAAGAAATGTGGTCTCAAAACTTGACAGAAACTCGGCATTTCAGAAAGGAAATGCCTATATTTTAATGAATTTGTATCCATTCTTTCTCTTGGCATTGCCCCTGATTCTGCATCTATTCTAACAGATAAGGGAAATTCTCTACTGAAATGCAAATAGATAAACCTGTGTTAGGGCTAATATCACTTAATTGGCTCATGTATAAAATTATTTTTACTTGAGTGGGTCTTCTTCTTTTTTTTTTTTTTTTTTTATTTAAATTTTAATTTTGAGTGACAGAGAGGGCACGAGCAGGGTAGGGGCGGGGGGGGGGGGGGGGGGAGAGAGTCCCAAGCAGGCTCCTCACTGTCCGTATAGATCCGAACGTGGGGATCGAATTCACGAATCATGACCTGAGCCGAAATCAAGAGTCAGACGCTTAACCAACTGAGCCACCCAGGGGCCCCGATTTGAGTGGGTCTTCTTGAAACATAATGTGAATGTTACAAGTTGCTGTAAGAATGGAATTCAAAGTACGAGTCAAATAAAGACCAGAAAGTCCTCAGGGTATGGCCTGTGTTTCCCCATCTGAGGGAGTTATGATACTGTAGTGGGCGAAGACAGTTGGTAGTTTTGCCTAAGTGTGGGTATCTATTTCCTGATCCTGTGAACTAAACAGAAAAACCCATGTTCTTTATGACATGGCCTGAAAAGTCTTGATGACTCCCTGGGTCTCAGTCCTGTAATTTATTATTCAGTCTTGTTGTTATTTGCTTATTTGCTCTTCAAAAGCACTGTGATTTTTTTTCTGCCTTCACCCTTAAGGTAAGTACCTATATTAGGGGATTATTCTTCTCCCAGACCTGAAATTATGTCATATCTTCACAACTGCATTAGTTCTGATTGCTCTTTTAGGGGTGTTTGCCACAGTCTCTTATTTGAGGGAAAGGAGATAACAGATCAGAAAAGACTTTTAAGTAATCTCGGGGTGTCTGGTGGCTCAGTTTGTTAAGCCTCCCGACTCTTGAGTTCAGCTCAGGTCATGATCTCACAGTTCGTGAGATTGAGCCCCGTGTCGGGCTCTCCACCGAGCCTTCTTGGGATTCTCTCTCTCTGTCTCTCTCTTTCTCTCTCTTTCTCTTTCTCTCTCCCCTCCCCTGTTGCACTGTCTCACCCTCTCTCAAAATAAATAAATTTACATTAAAAAGATAATAAAAATCTCTGTATCCAGCTTGGGGCTGGAACTCATGACCTTGAGATCAAGAGTTGGATGCTCCACTGACTGAGGCAGCCAGTCACCCTGATCAGAAAAGAGTTGTAATGAGACTGTCTAGAAACTGAGGTGCCCAGGGCTTGTGGCCACGGAATTAGAAGCCCCTCAGATCCCAAAACCACCTGGAAACTCAGGGTCTGGTTCTGCGTTTTTTCCCGAAGGATGTAGCAAGCCCAAGATTGATTAGCTAATGGGCTTTGGGCTCTGGAAGGCTGGACAAGTATAAGATAATCTTATGATCACACTCTAGTAGAATGTGCAATCAATGAATTTGAGTATAAAATAAGATTTGTAAAGTAAGTCACTACTTAATCCCCATATGCAGAGATTTATTAAATTAAACTCGGTGTCCATATAGCAATACATATGGCTGGACACATACCATATAGTTGTTCAGGTGTAACATATCTTAGGACAAGGATTGCCTGCAAAAAGCCGAAGGACCCAGTTGAGATATATGCTAATCATCCCGTTTGCACTGTGAAGGGGACAATGGAAAAAATAAAACTGTGGCATTTGCTAGCCAGCAAGGTAAAACAAAATAATTTTCTTCCATTTGGGTTGATAGGTAGGTGGTGTGAGGAGAGATGTACCTGGTAATGTTAATTTTTGCAAGTAGTGGCTTTTTTAGAGTGATCTAAAAATACATTTTTTTTTGTGCTTTGTAAAATAATACGAACAAGGAAAAAACAATCACTCCAAACTGTAACCAAAAACATTGAACATACTTAGTTCACAGCAGGTATTTCGTGTTGTTTGGCAAACATTCGGAAGGTGTGAGCTCTACCATTCTGTCTTTGTGTTTTCTAGGCTTTTCCCTTTCCTCTGTGGAAGAAGATGGCGTTCGAAGGCTCTATGTGAATAGTGTAAAGGAAACTGGCTTAGCTTCCAAGAAAGGTAAGTGACCGAGTATCGTAACTGTCTCTCTTGAAATCCCTTGGGGGTTTCTCTGGTTGGTGGATGAGAAAGACACCCCCAAAGGGTTCACCGGTAAAGATTATTTGAACGTTGTCTCCTTGAAAACCCTCCCAGGGAATATGCATATTGTTCTATAAACGCAAGTGTTTAAGAAATGCCACATTTTGGATCTTAAATCTGATTCTGCGCCCATTTCCTTGGGGCTGGTGGGAAATTCCATTCTAATCTGACATGATCATCTTTCGATGGTATGGAGGTCCTAGGGGTTTTCCTGAAGCAGCATTTGGGAACAGCCCTCTGTGCTCCGGTGGCCAGAGCTGATGCTGGCTCTCCCCTGAACCTGCAAAGCTCCTTCAGAGTGGCTGTGGTCCTGCTCCCGCTCATGAAGGGACCTTTGCAGAAGTTGAGAACCTAGGGTTTCAGAATCCAGTCTTCTTGCCCCACGGAGAGAGCTCTGTTCTGCCGCACCCCGCCTGTGGCCCTCCCAGGGCTCACTGCGGTCTGGGCTACTTGCGAAACCCCAACTCTCTTTCCTCTTTCTACTCAGAGAGAATCTTTTCAGCCTAGATTTTTTTGCTTCCTGTGATGGTTTCCTAGGGCTGCAGTAACAAATTGTCACAAACGGAGTGATTACAAACAGCAGAAATTTATGTTTTTACGGTTCAGGAGGCCAGACGGTCAGAATCCGAGTATGGGCGGGGTTGTTTCCTTCTGGCGCCTCTGACGGAAGAATCTCTCCCATGCCTCCCCCTTGCTTCCAGTGGCTGCTGGCGGTCCTTGGCAGTCCTTGGCTTGTGATTGCGTCCCTCTAATCTCTCTGTCTTTCATCACATGGCCCTCTTTCCTGTGTGTCTCTGCATCTTTACATGGCCTTCTTATAAGAATACCGGTCATTGGATGTAGAGCCCATCCTAATCCAGTGTGATTTCATCTTTAACGTAATTACGTCTGCAAAGACCCCATTCATTTTTTTTTTTTTTTAAGCTTATTTACTTATTTTGGGAGACAGAGACAGTGGTGGAAGTGTAGAGAGATGGGGGCGGGGAGAGAGAGAGAATCCCCAGCAGGCTCCACACAGCGCAGAGCCCGACGTGGGGCTCAAACTCACAAACCGTCTGATCATGACCTGAGCCGAAATCGAGTCAGACGCTTAAGTGACTGAGCCACCCAGGCACCCCAAAGACCCTAGTTCCAACTAAGGTCACATTCTGATACTCTGGATGGACATGAGTTTGGGGGGTGGGGGGTGCACTTTTCAGCCTACCATACTTACCGTAAACAAATCAGGCTGCTAGATAGGGCTCAAAACCCACTTTCCTTTCATTCTCCTTGCTGTGGAACTTTACGTTTCATCCAGGCAGCAGCCATATCATACCTGTCGAATAAAAGACCAAAACGTCTGGGTCAGTTGCACTTAGACGTAATGCCTTGCATCTGTCTGCTCTAGCAGACAAGAATGGAGGAGACAAGAAAATGGTGGAGTGGCCTACCTTGCCAACTCCTTCCATGTCTTGGTACAGCTCAGTTCTGGGTGTTCACGACCTTCGAGCTACCTACCCAGGTTACTTCCCCCTGTGCCGTAAGCCTCGGAGAAGGGCAGCCTGCACACTTGGCTGTGCACAGAAATGGCTGAAGTGTGACAAATGGGGAATAAAGTCAAAGTCATGTATTCACCGCCATCACAGAGGAGGATTTTCCTTCCATACTTTTCAAGGCCAAAGGCAGCCTGGAGGCGAGTCTCCACATTCACTAAGCTGTATCTCAGCTGGGAGCAGATGTGGCAGGGTTTGTTCTCCCACAAGCCCAAAGTCTGATTGTTATCTCTTGCAGCACGATGAGTGTGCCTGTTGGCGTGGTATGGGGGTGGGGAAGTACGCTGCCTCAGTTTCAGTCACATCCTGTTTGAGTTCTTTGAATCCAGGAGCCCTGGTTTTAGATAAAAACAAATGGTTGTCTGTTCCAACCCACTTGCCTTGTATAGCACTGTCCTCTATAGATTTAAGAGTGATGTCCCTTTGTCCACTGGGGCCACAGACACACCCATGTAGAGGGCAGTGGCAAGCAAGAGACTTGGGTTGGGGCACCTGGGTGGCTCAGTTGGTTGAGCATCTGACTTTAGCGCTGTGGTGATTTCGTGGTTTGTGAGGTCGAGCCCCACGTCGGACTGTCCCCTGCTGGCAGCCCAGAGCCTGTTTTGGGTCCTCTGTCCCCACAGCCTCTACCCCTCGCCTGCTCACGCTCTCTCACAAAAATAAATAAACATTAGAAAAGAGAGAGAGATTTGGGTTTTTTAATGTTAATTCTAGCCTCTCTGTGCAGACGTCTGGATAACGGAGAGCTCACTATAGACCGTAAGGCCTCTTCTTGGAGATCTCTAATCACAAAACATTCTCCTTCTTCAGCTTCCATTTACCATTTTACCTTATTCTTCTCTATAGACAGCCTTGGATGTCCATCATGTTATAACTAAGTCTCTTATTTATTTTTGTTAACCACCTGGGGCTTTTGGCCTATAATGAACTAATGGTGAATCCCCCTTTAATATCTGCCTACCCGTCCCCTGGATCTCGCGTTGGCTGTACTTACGGAATTGACTCTTTGAACCAAAACCATAACACTTAATTTCTGTTCAACTTGGGTGTGTTCATTCTGGCCCATCATTCCTCTCTTGGGGTCATCTGAGGCTGGGAGCTGGCATCTTGTTTGCTGCCCTCCCGAGTGTTTCTCTGATGGCTCCACAGGACAGAGCCCGGTCGAGAAAACCGTGTGCTTCTTTCTCCAGGGCAGAGTGTCTTCTAGATACTTCACAGCTTTTGCCACGGTCAGTTATGGGGATTGCTTCTAAGCAGGCTGCGGTTTTCTGTTAGAAAGAAAACCTTTTCCTTTTTCTTCTGCTACATACTGATGAGAGCTCATGTCTAGTGAATACCTTCAACGTGCCAAATGCTGTGCTAAGAGTTTTACATGGGTTACTTCACTTAGTCTCAGCGCACGGTCACTTCTCCGTATGAGGAAACGGGGGCTAGGAGAGATTCAGTAACATGCCCGCGGTCACAGAGCTGCTACGCGGTCACACTGTGACAGCAGGACCCCAGTGAGGCACTTCATTGCTCACTACTGCTGGGCTGTCTACACTCACGTATTAATACTGAGAATAACTCACTCAGGCAACTGCCTGTGGTCATTGTCTAGGTCTGCCATGACAAATGACCACAAGCTGGGTGGTTTAAAACAACAGGAATGTGTCCTCTCACAGTTCTGGAGGCCAGAATTCTTAAACGAAGGTGTCAGCAGCTCCCTCTAAAGTCTCTAGGAAAGAATCCTTCTTTGTCCCCTCCAGCCTCTGACAGTTCTAGGTGTTCCTTGACCCCCAGCAGTATCTATCACCGCCCTGTTAACGTCTATCTTTTTTCTGTGCCTCTCTTCAGAGGACATTTATCAGTGGGTTTTTGACCCACCAGACAATCCTGCATGGTGTCATCTCAAGATCATTTATTTAATTATAACTGCAAAGATCCTGTTTCCAAATAAGGCCCCACTCACAGGTTCTGGGACATGGACATATTTTGGGGGGGGCGTCACTGTTCAACCCACTATACACTTTTGCTACACCAGTCATAGTAAACCTGGAACTTCTTTAAAAAACAAAACAACGGGGCGCCTGGGTGGCTCAGTCAGTTGGGCCTCCGACTTCGGCTCAGGTCACGATCTCACGGTCCGTGAGTTCGAGCACCGCGTCGGGCTCTGGGCTGATGGCTCAGAGCCTGGAGCCTGCTTCAGATTCTGTGTCTCCCTCTCTCTCTGCCTCTTGCCTGTTCGTGCTCTGTCTCTCTCTGTCCCAAAAATAAATAAACGTTAAAAAAAAAAATTTAAAAAACAAAACAAAACAAAACTCCTAGATGTTTAAGTCCTGTCTTCTGTTTCTCCTTATATTACCTCCTCTAATGTCTAACCAAAAGGGTTGTCTCCGAGAGAAGACTTAAAAAACACCAACCAAACAAACTACGTTCCACATGGGGGAATTTTGTGTTTTCATTTCAAATGCTTGGGGCGCCTGGGTGGCGCAGTCGGTTAAGCGTCCGACTTCAGCCAGGTCACGATCTCGCGGTCCGTGAGTTCGAGCCCCGCGTCAGGCTCTGGGCTGATGGCTCGGAGCCTGGAGCCTGTTTCCGATTCTGTGTCTCCCTCTCTCTCTGCCCCTCCCCCGTTCATGCTCTGTCTCTCTCTGTCCCAAAAATAAATAAACGTTGAAAAAAAAAATATAAAAAAAAAACAAATGCTGTGATGCCAAAATCTGTCACCTAAAACTGGAGTGCTTAGCTTCCCAGAATTCCACCTCTGAGTAGAGAAAAACATTTGTCTTCCGTTGCCTCCCCACTCCAAGCGTTTCCTGGAGTGTTTTATGGTAGAAGGTTGATGTCAAGTGTTTTGGAAACCCGAGTACAGATAGCCAAGGGCTGTGACTCGGTGAAGCCGGGAAGTACGAACTTCTCTGTGGAAACACTTTCCCTCAGACTCAGAGGTGGGATCTGTGGATACCTGAGGAGCTGAGTGGCGTCTCATTTCTGCAGTTTATTCATTTACCTTTGCCCTCACTCACTTCCCTTTCCAAGTTTGTTCTTCCACATGAGTCTTTAGAGTGAGAGTTGGACTCTTGTCTTCTTCGTAGCTGAAACAATATTTCCTTTCATGTTCTGCTCTAACCTCTCCCTTTCTCAAACTGCTGGAATGTTCTTTTAATACCAGGTTGAAATGCCGCAGGGTCCGTCACAACCTCTTGTTCTTTTGGGTTGGGCTAGTTCCCTTGGGTCCCAGACTTTGGCAACTCCCCCAGCATGCTTTGCAAAAGCAGCAGAACCTTTGGGGACCTTCCAAAAGATACTCACCCCGAAGCTGTGATATAGTTACAAACAAGGCGGGAGGGGGGGTGTGGAGGGCAAAGAATGATCACATGTGGTTCTCTAGATTGTGTTTGAATTTGGAATAAGTTGATTTTCTATAGTCGTAGCCGGAAGAAGCTCACTGCACTTTGGTTCCATAGCAGTGAGCAAAGACATGTTAGCTGGCCGTGCCACATGTGTGCACTGTCGCACGAGTGTGTACAAAACATATTGATTATAGCAAGCAGAGCATTTGTTTTCTTGTTTTTTTAAATTTTTTTAATGTTTATTTATTTTTGAGAAAGAGAGCACAAGTAGGGGACGGTCAGAGAGAGAGGGAGACACAGAATCCAAAGCAGGCTCCAGGCTCTGAGCTGTCAGCACAGAGCCCGACGCGGGGCTCGAACCCACGAACCGCGAGATCATGCTCTGAGTTGAAGTCAGATGCTTAACCAACTGAGCCGCCCCAGCTACCCAGAGCATTTCTACCATTTCCCCTCAAAACTGAGGATGATAGCCGGAATTAGCATTTGTGAGGAGAAGGTGCCCAGAGCAGGTGGATTCAGGAAGGAGAAAATGTGTTTAGTTGGTGTGTGTGCAGGACAGACAGGCACGCTTGTCACGACCGAGTCCGGAACCTTTGAGACTGGGGCCCGCGTGATCACCTGGTGATCACTGTTGAGGACCAGAGCCTGTTTGCACTGGTGCCCGGGGCCGTGGGGCCCATGACAGGTGACTCCACGTGCCCTTTACAGCAGGGTTTCTACGCTGTTGTGATCTGACTCGATGCTGCGGCCGCCACTGCTTTTATGTGCGTGTGAAATGAAACATTTTCCGTCTCGCGTTGGCAGGCCTGAAAGCGGGAGATGAGATTCTCGAGATCAATAGCCGGGCTGCAGGCACCCTGAACTCCTCTGTGCTCAAAGATTTCCTCACGCAGCCATCTCTGGGCCTCCTGGTGAGGACCTACCCCGAGCTGGTCGGGGGTGTGGAGCTGCTGGACTGCCCGCCCCACCGAGCGGACGGCCCCGCGGATCTCAACGACAGCCCCCTGGCCTTCCTCAGCAGCAACCCAGGTATGGCTGCGCCGTGTGCCGGACCCGCATCTGAGCCCGGGTCAGCCGGGACCTGCTGGGTGTGTGTGTGTGTGTGTGTGTGTGTGTGTGTGTGTTCCAGTGGCCTGGGGCCAGCAGGCCTAAGATGTACGAGTGAAATGAACTGGTTACGGAGTGTGTGCTTCCTGTTAATTTCCAGGGGTCGGGGGACTTGTGTTCTTGCGGAGTAACCGTTTGTCCACTAATCAACCTGTCACACACGCAGCTGCTGCTGCTGTGTATCATTTTGGAGAAAGTCGAATGGGTAGAGGCCCCCGTGTCTTGGCTGTGGGTGGAGATGACAGAGATTCACCAAGGCTCCGGGTCCCCCCTCTGCCTTCCACACCACCGTCCCCCAAACCGTCGAGCCCGTGCTTTCCCTTCTGTGTGGGAGAGGGTATGGGCTGCCCCGCGTGGAAATAAGCCCAGAGCTCTCATTTGGTCAGCTTCTCTTGGGCTTGCCCGGTCTCCAGTTGGAGCAGGAGTCCACAGGTGCAACCGTGCCCTGCCTTACCCGCTGTGCTTCCTGCCCTCAGCCTTTCTCCCTATCCCTTTGTAACCTTGTGCTTACCCTAAAAGAAGCAACTTGAGGGCACCCGGGTGGCTCAGTCAGTTAAGTATCTGACTTCGGCTCAGCTCATGATCTCATGGTTTGTGAGTTTGGGCCTCGCATCAGGCTCTGCACTGACAGTGTGGAGCCTGCTTGGGATTCTCTCTCTCTCCCTCTCTCTCTCTCTGCCCTCCCTCCCCCCAGTCCCTGCCTCAAAATTAAGAAATAAACTTAAAAAAAAAAAAAAAGAAGCAACTTGTATGCTATCTGCCCCTTGAAGCCTCCCTGCTCCGGGTCCCTAGGACCCTGCAAAGACCTCTTTCACGTGGGCCCTAGTTGTACAATACTGTTCTTACTGGTTTGTCTCTCTGTCCTGAGTTTGTTCCTGGGACTGGGCTTACACCTGCTTCACTTTGCTCCACGCACCCCGTTCTTGTTGAGTGAGGGTCCGTGAATGAGCCCACCAGTCAATAGCATGTTGCTGTCACTTCTTTCTCCATGACCTGGTTCTAGCAGTGGGGTTGATTTAGTAAGTTGGGGTCTTTGGATTTATTTTCTTTTCAAAACTTGAATTAAAAAAAAAAGTCTTTGATTTCAAACTCTGGGTATAGGTACTTTGAATATTCTTTGCCCTGCCATTGATGTTTTTTTCAGTTTATTTACTTATTTTGAGAGAGAGAGAAGGAGAGAGAGAGAATCCCAAGCAAGTTCTACAGTCAGTGCAGAGCCCAATGTCATGGACCACGAGATCATGACCTGAGCCCAAGTCAGACACTGATTGAGCCACCCAGGCACCCTCCTGTCACTGTGTTTCAAATTCCCTTCTGAAGTTTGGCTTGATGAGAATAGATCCCCAGCAGAGCCCTTGTGAGAGCACATTCTTTTGCTCAGTGGCTGTTGCAGGAATTTGACAAGTTGAGGCTTCAGAAAATTGATCACACTTACTGCTGTTGACTTCCTTGACTCATTATGTCATTTCAGTACCCGTACCCCAATCAGATTTTTAGAAAATGTTTCCAGGGAGCTGTGTACCCCTATGGGGAATGGAGACCATGAAGGCTATTCTTTTGTGTGACCACAAGATGGCAGGATTGATCCCATAAAACTCAGTTCACAGAGACTGATGTTTCTATCTGTAATATGACTCTGAATGAGGCTTGTTGTGTTAGGTTAGGTTGGGTTATTTAAAGGATTTTTATAAGATATGGATGTACGTACTATGTACATACAGTGTATTTCAACTTTCTTTGAATTTTTTTTTTCCATCTGAGCCCTTCCTGTGGGCTATGGATATAAAGCAGGGGTTGGCAAACTACAACCCACAAGCCAAATGCAACCCATGGCCTGTTTTTACAAGTAAAGTTTTTTTGGAACTGTTTAAACAAACTGTTTAAATAAAGGTTGATTGTCCCTATTTTGGGGTGTTTCTTCTTTAAAAAATTGTGTGTGTGTGTGTGTGTGTGTGTGTATGTGTGTGTACGTTTTGCAAATTTTTATTAAAATTGTTTTAATTAAAATGTATTTGCATGCATGTATTTATTTTAGAAATATTGATATATTCTGTATATATAGTAGCTGTCCCATCTTTTATATGATGGAGTTTTAAACCTAACTGACCTCTACATAGTACACGTTACCTCCTTCAGGCCAGTCACCTTTGAAGGCTGAGTGCTTAATCCACCAAATCTACCGGTGTTTAAAACACATTAAAATTTCCATTTTGGAATCATTCTTAGAAGATGTATCCATTCCTTTGCTTCTTTTCCAGTTAAATGATACTATTTTGCGATGATCAAAATCCTTCAGAACACAGTCCTCTGGGTCAAATTGAGGTCATTAAAACTGGTTCAAGCATAAAGCAAAAAGGTAGTCATCGTGTTAGTTTTCTTCAGCATTAACACGTTCCAGAAGAATTCTCAAATGCCCTGGGCAGTGGTGGTCCAATTGGAGCAGCTGAAGCCTCTTTGCCTTCTTTCTGGTCGCTAGCAGCTCCTAGTCCCCATTTTACCATGAAAAATACAAGAGGCAAGGAAACAGGATAAAATGATCTGAAAGACTGCTCCGTAATGAGGCAGAGATAAAGCAGCATCCACTGACGGCTGCAGTTAAAATAGTAAAGAA